AGTGATTTGATTTTTAGTATTTAAGAAAGGACACACAGCTATAAGGTAAATGCATAAGGGAAACAAAATCTTTATATCAGGTTCAGTTTCTTACTGGTATTTGATTCTATGTATTTTTCAGATGAGTGAAAAGATTTGGAGAGATGCACTCTCCAGGGTTTATAAAGTGCAAATCACACATAACATTTTATTTCATCGGTGCATTTTGAATGTTGTATTTTTTTAATCCTGTATCCTTCCAAAAAAAATGTTGTAAAATGGTGTACCTATCAGTATACCCTGACAATTCTATTATCAAATCACTGTGTACTCTTCACAGGGAGGAGGAAGCACTACCATTCATATCATTCAGGGATTCTACCTACAATTTCTATATGTCAGCAAAATGCCTAATCATGGGACTGAACTCTCAGTTCCTAGGATGAAACACTGAAACCAACACAAGATATTGCAAAGGTGACTGCTTCTGGGACATGAACAGAGTTTGATGGTATTTTAACTGGTTTTATGCACTGTTTGTCAAGTTTTACATGAAGACTGGCTTGTATAAATTATTCAACAGGCTTAGCAGTATTTAGACACTGCAACAAAAGCATATATCAAATTTTTCATTCAGGAAATTTTTTCCCTTAACTGGGTTGTACAGTTCATTTTGCACTAATGCCTAATGTCATGTAATGGTTACCAAGCTTGTCTCAATAGATCAATTATGACTGAATAGTGAGTTCAATCCTCAATGGATGTCTTATAATTCTGGCCTTATACCAAATCTATGCTATGCTTAGAACATCACCATCTTGTGCTAATGCCTGATGTTTTTCTCTGTCTATTTATACTTGGTGAGTTAGTCGGTACAGTGGATGTCTGATTAGTGTAATGAATAGCAGTTCAAAATGAGAAATCGGAGCTGAGTTTGTTACATTCACTTACGTGAATACATCATCATGGGTCTTGTGTCTAATGCCTGAAGATGTTTTTGTGAACAAAGACTTTAAATGTGGCATATTTATACAGATTGACAGAAGTTCTTAGCTGAGCTAGTTATTGACTACTCAGGCGATTTCTGTACCTTTTACCAACCTATTATAACCTTTTTTATTGTTGCATGTGATTTGTGGTTAGTAGAGATGTCAAATAACACATAACAATAAAAGTGTTTTTAATAGGTTGTTCAAAATACAGAAATCGCCTGAGTAGTTTGTTACATTCTATCTCTTCCATTATTTAAAGTCTTTGTTCACAGACGCAGACAAGTTCACCTTCAAGAGGGGTCAGGTCGACACAACAATGGGTAAATAGTAGGACAAATTGAGCCCTATTGCCTTTGTTCGTAATCAGTCTAGAGAAGGGAAACTATGAATACAAACCATCCTGAAGATGGATAGGTTTCATCAGGCTCTCTTGCACAGATGAACCACTACTGTTGTGGCTGCAGTACATGTGGTGCCACAACAACACTAATATGTTTGAGTACTTATTGTGGTATCCATCCATGTTCCCCCCAAAAATAACATAAATTTTATCCTTGGGTAGTAACTGCTATTTCTAATTTGCTTATGCCTAGAAAGTACAAAAAAAATGGCTAATATTTCCTTCAAACTTTGCTTTTGTGATACTTCTGTAAAGATATTTCTGAAATTTACCAATTCCCATTGGGAAAACTGGTGATTGTGAACATTCTTGTTCATGCAAAGCAGAAGCAAAATGATATTTGATTCTAAAGTAATATTTATTTATTCTAAGATTACACAAGAGAGAACAAAAAAAATTAGTAGTTTTTCATGATTTACACTTATACTGTAAATCTCTTTCATGAATCAGCCCCCAAATATGGTCTCCCATACATTATATGATCCTTGGTAGTGGCGTTGAAAGTTCAGTATATCCTGATGGAAGCACTTGCCTCACTCCTCTGAGTATGTCATCATGTGCTTGATGAATTTATCAAGATGAACATCAAGGATATGAACACTGAGAGACATCCTGCAGCCCATTTTGCTGTAGTTCTTCACTCGCCTCTCAACAAGCTGCACATACATTTTGGCCTTGGGATTCCCCAGGAAACCCTGAACTACTGCAACAAAGATGTTCCGCACTACTTTTTCCATTCTAGTGAGATTCTTGGGAAATTCTTCATACCCTATGATTTTCTTTATCTGTGGTCCAACAAAGACACAGGCTTTTTCTTTTGCTGCATACAGCTTAAGGAAGAAGTTTTAAAGGTACTTGAAGGCTGTAGACTCCTTATCTAGAGCTGTGACAAATTGTTTAATAAGGACCAATTTTAAGTGCAAGTAGAGGAAAATATATTTTCTGGGCTCCAGTAGTGTCTGCCATTTGACATTGTCCCTCCCCACTCTGAACTCAGTCCACTGTGGTCAGTCCCACCTGTGGTAGTGTGCTGCAATGTCCCTGCTTTCTCAAAGGCAAAAAAACTTGATAAAGGCACCATGGAGACCCATCAGAAAGGCCACCACTTTGACTTCTCTGATAATCTCCCAATTGTACTCTTCATATTTGTTATGGTCCAGTTCCTTGTACCATGGAGATAGTCCAAGGTAGAACCAATAAAGAAGAACTCGAACACGGATATGGAATAACACAGATATATTACAAACAGGAATATATACAGAGAAGTAGAAGTGTTAGTAGAACAATCAGGTTTAGTAGAGAGAACAATGTAGTCTCGACCAGTATCACTATTCCAATGTCTTGGAGTAATTGTCTGAACGCGACTCTGTTTCAGACTACCTCTGACTCAACTCTTGACTCAACTTGAACTACTGACTCGACTTGAACTACTGATTCTGCTTGAACTACTGACTCCGCTTAAACTACTGACTCAACTTGAACTACTGACAATATTCAGTCACCCCCCCCCTTGAGGGCGTCATGTGGCACAAGGCCTTTTTAACGTGGGCTCTCCAAGCCCGTGGGCTCAGCTAAAAATATGCCCATTGAACCCGTATAAACGGGTTCAGGGTCAATTTACTTCCCCGAAAGAGAATCCACCCTTTAGCGTAGCCTCCTTCGGGTTCCTCCCTGCCCGATGGCAGAGAGTTCAACCGATCTGTCGTTCAAGACTTGCGCGACAGACTCCTTGCCTACTCCTGAGGTGCAGTATTTATTAAGTATAGAATAGTCCATTATTATTATTATGGGTAAGATCCCATAACAATATTGCAAGGCATTTAGCAAGATCTTGTAGATGAACATGGTCTGCAGGAGATGGCAGAAGGACGAAACTTACTAAGAGCTACCAGGGATAGGAGGAAGTGGAGAGCCATGATCGCCTACGTCCTGAAAGGACACAGCACATAAAAAGAAAGAAGATAAAAATGAAAGCATTCAGAAGCCGAATTAAGTTTGGCCAGTTTTTTTTTAATTTTTATTTGAACATTTTTCCTGTGAAAATATCAATTCACACACATTCTCTTCAGTATTTAAAAGAAAACATTATTGCAAGACAGGAGGATTTCTTTGGCAATAAAGAAAAGAGAAATTGAGCTGTTATGTGATATCTGTCCTCCTTTATGTCAACAAATTTTGGACATTCTCCTCAAAGATGAAGAAGAGACTCAAGGCAACAGAGATGTGGGTCTACAGAAGGGTACTGAGGATATCATGGAACGAGCGTGTGAGAAATGATGAGGTCTTGGAGATGATGCAAACAAGGAGGAGTTTTATTTACTGCTGACTTTGATCCGTTTTAATGAAACACCCTTTATATGCTTCCACCACGTCTTCCCTCAGCTATGGATTAATTAGTAAAACTTCATCACTAAATCATTGTTATCTTCAAAAAAATTCTTAGAACCTAAAAATGATTTTTGACTTCAAATAACCTGCAATGGGTCAATAAGCTGTAAAAATCAAATGAATAAAATAATTATTTCAACCAATTTTTTTTTTAATTTAATAAATTCTATATTACATAAACTGTAATGAGTTTTTATCTAAATTGTTTGTTTGAACCATATATATATATATATATATATATATATATATATATATATATATATATATTATTATTTATTGTTGGCCCTTCTAGGCTTGAAATATTTTATTCTGAAATGGTTGAAATTCTCTACCGAATTTTAAGGAATTCACAGTTAATTTAAACAGATTTCTACATAATTATTAACTTTAGGTTCCCTTTAAGCTTTTCAATAAAACTGTTTTGTGAGAGTCCATAACTTTTGGTCAAATAAACCTTTGAAAGAGTCTATTTCCTTTGTAATCCACCTCTACAGATTGACATATGCATAGTATAATATGAAATATTTGCACCTTAAGGATGAATGAAAAACACACTGCAATATGACTACATGCCATTGCATGTGGACAGAAGACGCAGAGATAACTATAAAACTATGAATAAATCTTTCTTCCGCTGCATTTGGAATTGCGAATTTTCTTTTCCTCAACTGAGGGATTCTTATGTTCATTCACTTGCATCCAATTTGAACCCACCATCATTTTTTCCCATCATGCACTCTCATGTCAAAATGTGGCATCAATGAATATATAATTTATAAATGTCAATTTTAATTCAGACTGATCGAACAGAAAATACAAAATTAAAACATCCACTAACGAAATAGTAAGTTAACATTGTCACTCCCTCTCTCTCTCTCTCTGTCTATCACTCTCAGTTTATCTCTCTCTCTCTCTCTCTCTCTCTCTCTCTCTCTCTCTATCCTTGGATGTCTCTCTATATCAATCTCTATTTCTCTCTCTAGCTCTCTGTGTCTCTTCTTATGACATTGTCTCTCTATATCTCTCATTCTTTCTCTCTCTCTCTCTGTATCTCTCTTTATGAGTTTGTCTCTCTTTGTATTTCTCTCTCTCTCTCTTTCTTACTCTATCTTTCTGTGTGCTTCTTTCTATATATAAATACACAAAGAAGTACAGAGTGATAGTTAAATAGATAGAAACATAGAAAATGAAACAGACATCTATCCAGTGACAGACTTACATTCAAATCATGATGCAATACTCCTCTTGGATCACTGAAGTTAAGCAATGTCAAGCTTAGTCAGTACTTAGGTGGGGGACCACTTGGGAACACCAGGTACTGTAAGCCAAAACCAGGTACAAAACAAATTGGACATAGGGCCAGCAACTTCATCCCCTAAAAACTCAATTGCTATGGAAACACCAGCAGCAATTATCTGGATCCATACACCACAGTAGGGTCTAAGAGACGAAAGAAGGAAAAGAAGGGTATCTAGTGAATTAATGAATATATATATATATGTGTATATTTATTGTATTTTAATTTGTACAATTTTGGCATAAGGCCAAAGAGGAAGTGGGGTGAAACTGGTCGTCATTGACAATCCTAAACCTAGCTGATCTGATTCACAACCCATTCATTCATTCATAACAATTTACTCAGTCACCACAAGAACACATTCCTCTTCATCCAATCCTACATTTACTAAAATACCGCTTGTTCACAGGAGAACCTACTAAAACCCCATGATGTAAAAATCTATGGATATTTACAATTTTTATTTCATTATTTTTCTCATGTTTTTTGGCAATATAAAAATTATGTATCATAAAATGAGAGGATGGAAGGGCTGATCCTAATAACAAAAATAAAATTAAAAAAAAACAACCAAATATTCAAACTAAAACAAAAATATGTAAGTATGACCCCACAAAATAAAATAATGACAAGACACTGTATTCTGCCAATAGACAAAATCAAGACGTTCACTCACTAAAATTGAAGGAAGAGGGAAATAAATTGTGGAATGGAAAAAAAACAGTCAATATTAAAAGGAGATAAAAACAAACAGGGGATGTTGGGAATATGTGTGTGTGTGTGTGTGTGTCTGTGTGTGTGTGTGTGTGCGTGTGTGTGTGAGCATGCATGAAAGAATATGAAAATATATATTGAATAAAAATACATTTATACACAGAGTTTATCAAAAATGCTTTTACAAAGGTTGGGGCAGATTCCTGACACCAAAATAAAATAAAATGTCCATATAAACATATGTCCAAAAGGCCATCATTGTACCTCAACACAGCAACTCATAGCAAATGTTCAAAATGTCCTCCACTTAATTCTACACACGCATGCACCTGTTGGATCATTGACTGGTGGATCCTTTCAAATACTCCCAGTGTCAAATGTTTTTGCAAACCCCATGACACGTTGATAAAGCATCTACTGCATAAGCCAATTATTTTAGGTGGCCGTACAGATAAAAATTCAAAGGTTTGAGGTCAGGAGAATGTGCAGGCCATGGAACCAGACCTCCCCTACTTATCTATCTTTCATGATAGATGTCATCCAGTGCATCATGAACAATGTGACTAAAATGTGCTGGAGCCCTATCATGCATGAATCATATGCATCTTTGTATTAACACAGGTACATCCTCTAGAAGATCTGGAAGACTGTTTGAAATAAAAAGACTGAAGAGACAAACAACAGATTGGCAGTTTGTGCAATAAACCATCAGCAAAGGCTCTCCCATGGTAAGTGATCAGAGAACAAAAGACACTGCACAGGGTGCAAATGATAGAGATACAGGAGTTGCTGTTAAGGTACCCTCTATGTGGTACTATGAAATGCATGACATGCTAGGGCCACTTGATGTGTGCTGATATCTGGATCGTCTCCAACATACTGTAGAATATGTTATTTGTAGTCAGGCATACGATGGGATATTAGTCTTTCTTGATCTATAGTTTGTAGTGCCACAGATCCAATCTCAGTAATGTGACAATAAACAGCAGCAAAGGTTAGATGACTCGGCTGCCTTCAATCTAAAAGTGCAATCTGATACAACCCTTCAGCCATTAGAATTTTCACAGTCATATGTAAAAATCATATCTGCCTGTTCACGATATGAATATCCTGCCATTGTTAAATGGAACACTTCTCAGTTAACTCAATACTACACACTTTAAATGTTTAAGACAGACTAGCCACAAATGTACATGAATGACAAATGTAACCTAGTTTTCATGGACTTTTGTCCTTGTTTTGCTGTGATGAAACCACCTCCAAAGTCTGTAAAGTATTTTTGATACACCCTGTGTATATGTATATATATATAAAATTTCTCAGACATTCAGGCCGGTAAATGTTGTTTAATACTGTTTATTATAAACAGAGCATTTACTTAAATATTTGTATCTATAAAAAGAATGTATAAACATAAATATGTCTTATATATATATATATATATATATATATATATATATATATATATATATTTGTAATAAAAAACAGATCACTTTAAGGTTCCATGTAATAAGTTATTTCACCACAACCCTTTTAAAGGGCTCTGGATCATCAGACTTTACTTCCAAAAGTTGAAATGAAAAAATGAAAATGAAAGTGATCTGTTTTTATTCAAACATATTTGCTCTGAATTTACATTGAGCTCTCTGGATATCATCCTCCTTGGGTCTACCCATACAGATTACCTAGTTTTGCATAAACTAAAAATATATATATATATATATATATATATACGAGGGTGCACTGAAAAGTTCATAGGTTGACTATGAAGGTTTGATGCTACAGCTGTGAAATCTTGGGTGTATTAATTTCAACTCTTATTAATTCTCATTAATTACTGCATTGTTTCTTTCCAGGTAAACTAACACCTGACTGTTCAAAGAAGACTTCAAAAGTAACTAGTAGTGACTTCTCTTGAAAATGGACAAAATTTGGCATCGTGATGTTATCAAGTACCCACAGAAAAAGGATTTAGTCCCCAAGTACATTCATGCTGACATGGTTGCCACATTACAGAATGTCGTTCCAGCTTTATCAACAGAGCAAAAGTGGGCAGCTGAATTTAGGAGGGGAAGAGAGTCCTGGAGATGACCCAAGGTCTGGATATACTGCAACTGCCAACACCAAATTAAACATTGATTACATTCACCACATGGTGGCAGGCGATTGACAATAAATCAAATAGCCAATGCTATCGGCATATCCCATGAGAGAGTTGAGAATATACTGCATAATGAACTTGGTATAATGTAGGTTTCTGCTCAGTTGGTGCCACATCTTCTGACACCTGATCAAAAGCCCACCACTCTGGTCACATCATGGGAAAATCTTTTCTTTGTTTCTAACAAAATTTTACGATTTCTTAATATTTTGCTTAGCTTTTGGAAGGCATCTTTTATTATCCCAATATGCCTTTGGATTTCAGTGTGATACTTTCCATCCTCTGTTAAAACACTTCCCAGATATTCAAATTGTTGTACTTTGGTCGTCATTCAAGACAATTCATAGATGGCTGTCAAGGCAGTGAAATCAATAATTATCATGAAGTGACTGGCAAAATATCCTGCAAGAAATTACTTTATTCTGGGTAGAGATCTTCCCACACTAGCAATAAATTCAACATTAATTCAAGGCAGTCCATTGATGGTGGTAAATGCACAAAAACAATTACTGTCCTGAGCCTGCTGGAGAGATATACCGTAATATTTTTATTTATTTATTTTTTATTGTCCTGGCTAATGTTACTCAGACATGTATTTGAATAGTTATTCAAGATAATTCCCAGATGCTGAAGAAGAGGCAGTGGAAACAAAGATTATCTTTTAAAATATATTTGCTGATATGGCATTGTGAGATCGGTTAGGACACACACATAGTCAAGTGAACTGTAAATAATATTATCTGGGCCTGGATTACTAAGAGCATCACCACTAAAATCAAGATGTGAGACATTCAAAATAAACATATGCTGTCTAGCATTAAGGAAAATAAAATACACTGTATAAATAAATGAATTAATTAAAACTTTCAGGATCAAGTGCCATTCAACAGGAATATAGGGAATTGTGGTCATGAACCAGCCAGAAGCCATCCATCAAGATATAGAAAGATATAGTTAGAGTCAGGGGCTGTCCATCAGAGTCAGACAGAATCACAGTTAGAACAAGAAGAGATACAGTGTTAGATGGAGACAGAGTTCTCACAGATCAAAAGGAAGATATGATCGATTTATCTGTCATGTGAAAGACCGAAGATCAATGCAAAGATGACTAGAAGATGTCACTTACCTTCCCCTAGATAGTGATAAGTGAACTGATCCATGAGTAAAGAACACTGTCAGAATGAAACAGCCTTCTCTTTCTCATCAAGGTTATATCTCTAGATGAACATATTCGAGACTAAACCTCTGTGCTGTGTGATATCTCTCCTTCAGTTTCTTTGTTGGTTATACACCAGGTCTTTCCCTGTTTTGTTCAGATCAACACATATGTAAATCGAACCACAGCTTGGGAGAGAAGCTGACTAAGAGACTCAATTACATGCTTTCAACATCATGCAAAAATTACCCTGGTCACAATTGGTTAACTCATTGTCAGCTTTATCTTGTATCCAAGAATTTAATTTCTTCTTTGCTGATCACTTCCTTTATGGTGATGGCATTGATGACTAAGTAGACTAATTCTTGCCTGGAAGAGCCAATGGCATTGACTGCATAGTAATGTTGGTGGAAGACAGGGTTGATTTTGTTGTGCCTTTCTGTCTTGTTTGATTTCTTCCTTTTCTCTTCTGGTGGCTTCAAAGTTTTTGGTTTTAATGGTGACAGAACATCATCAGTTGGTACACTCTTGTGCTTGTGTTTCAAATGATTTAGGCTGAAGTCCAGTAGCTTTTCAATATTCTTTGGTCCTTCAAAGAAGGCTTTTAACTGAAGTGAGCTCTCTGAATAAGACTTGCCATGGAAACCTTGACTCTTCCATTCTGGCTACATGTCCTGACCATCAAAGATGGTGTTCAGTGATCAGAAATTCAATGCTTTGACTACTGGCTCTCTCTATGACATTGGTATTGGTCACATAGTAGTTCCATTTGATGTTCAAGACTGAATGAAGATTTTGCTGTTGAAAGCATTTCAAGAGTTGGTTGAAGATGAAAGAAAATCAAAGTAGATTAAAGTTTACTGGAAATCAAGAAACCAGAAGAGAGTTCCACAAGCGAGAAATGCAAGAGAAATGCATGGAGGGTACTTCAAGAGCAGTTCCTGTATTCATATCATTTGCCCTGTGTGCAGTCTTTTGTTCTCTGATCACTTACCATGGGAGAGATTTTGTTGATGGTTTATTGCACAAACTTCTGATCTGTTGTTTGTCCCTTCAGTTTTGTTTACAAATGAGGCAATATTTGGAAGAGATGGAATAATTACACAACCAACATTTGTGGGCAGATTGGAACTTATGGTTACATCTAGCCATTTCAACTTTTAATTGATGAAACCTTGCCAAAAATTTTGTATTGTGCTTAAATTCATAAAGTCTAGGTACCATAGTGCAAAGTTCATCAGAACAATAACCATGAAAGTAGGAAAGGGTCTGAAGCCGAGATGCCAGGTCAGTACCAATAACATTACAGATTCTTTGGATATTTATTAAAAATCTCTAGATATATAGCAGGTACACCAGGCCATATGTGGCAGCCATATCCAAAGCAAGAACAAATGGTAGCTTTATAAATATGTAAGACAGATTCTGGCAAGAAAAATTGTCTAGCATGACATAGTGAACCAACACTCTTAGCTGCAGACTTATGTCTGAATAAGAAGAGAGTTCAACAAACAAGAAGTTCAAGAAAAGAAACTGTTCATCTAGCCAATTCAACTGAATTGATGAGACCTTGCTGCATATATACAGTGGGAGGAAATAAATATTCATAGACTTGATAAATTGTATTTTTATAAATGTAAAAGCCTTAACTAAAACAAATTTTGATACATTTTATGTGTAAAGATACATTTTATTAAAAAATAGTAATAAATTTAATTAATTCTTATTCTAACAGAAATTAATGCATTTTTTTCATTTTATCTGATGAAAAAAGTATTCGTACAAAACAAAAAAAGCATATTATCTTAATTTAATACTTTGTGGAATATCCTTTATTGAGTTCAACAGCTACCAGTCTATTCATGTACGTCTCAACTAATGATTTGCACACATTGACTGGTATTTTGTCCCATTCTTCTTGGCATATTGTCTTCCAATTCTTGATATTTGTTGGTGCTCTTTTCCCAATTTGAATTTTCAAATATCGCCATAAATTCTCAATTGGGTTCAAGTCTGGGGACTGACTTGGCCATTGCAAGACATCAACATTACTTTCAGCTAACCATTTCCTTGTAGATCTAGCGGTATGCTTAGGATCATTATCCAGTTGGAAAACCCAATCAGGAGGTATCCGAAGTCTCTCAACAGAACGCATTAAATTGTCTTGCAGGATTTTCTGGTAGCTTTCGGCATTCATCTTGCCATCTATTATTGATATTCTGCCAATACCTTTTGCAGAAAAACAGCCCCAGATCATGATACTGCCACCACCAAACTTTACAGTTGGCAACGTGTTCTTTGGTAGGCTTCATCATCCTTCCTCCACACATTATTTCAATTATTATGACCTAACAACTCTATTTTAGTTTCATCTGTCCATAGTACTTTTTCCCAAAACGAATATTCTTTATCCTTATGCTCTCTAACGAATTTTAGCCTAGCATCTCTGTGTAGTTTCAAGAGGAGTAGAGTCTTCCTTGGGATGCGTGATTTCAGACTGTTTTTGTCTAGTTCATTACTTATTGCACGCAGATGTTCCTGCAGCTCTTCTCGGGTAACCTGTGGAGTTTGTTGGATCTGGCATCCTAATATCCTTGCTGATCTTAAAGAAATCTTCCTCGGAGCACCTGTTCGTCTATGGTTTTCAATGCTGTTACGAATTTTAAACCTTGCAATGAACGAAGCAACTGTAGTAAAAGGAATATTCAGGTTGTTAGAAATCATTCTGTAACTGTTCCCATCTTTCCAAAGAGACAAAATGTGTTGTTTTTGTGAAATAGTCAATTCTTTACCTTTAGGCATTATTAGAACCTTCTCATAAGACTAGAAATTGCAGAATGCTCTGATAATGGCTAATAGTGTTAACTATAATTACTAATAACATTACTGGAACATTCTAGAATATACTTTTTTCATAATTGATTGATTATTTTATTCTAATAATTGATTTGTATGAATACTTTTTTCACAAGTTAGAATTTAAAAAATGCATTAATTTCTGTTAGAATAAGAATTAAGTTTATTATTATTTTTTAATAGTATGTGTCTTTATGCATAAAATGTGCCGAGATTTGTTTTATTTAAGGCTTTTTCATTTATAAAAATACAATTTTTCACGTGTACGAATATTTATTTCCCCCCACTGTATGTAGTACAGTACTTAAATTCATAAAGTCTAGGTACTAAAGCAAAGAGTTCATCTGAACAATTGCCATAAAAGTATTTACAGAAAAGGTACAGGAATTTACATTACAATCATGGGAAAGTGACTGAAGCCAAGGCACCAGGTCAGGACTAATAATATTGCAGATTCTTCTTTAGATTTTATCAAGAATCTCTAAATATTCAGCAGGAGTACTGGAACTTATGTGGCAGCAATACTCTAAGCATGGACAAATGTTATACATATGCAAGATAGATTCTGGAGAGAGAAATTGTCTAGCATGACACAATGAACCAACTTTCTTAGCAGCAGACCGAGCAATGGACTCAATATAGTCTTTCCACTTCATATCAGCTCAGAATGTTAGACCAAGAAGGTGCAATGAGACACTTTCAAGGAGGTTAGCATCAGCCATGCTAATGGGAGGCAGGAAGGAGTTTTTCAGATGATTAATAGAGAGAAGTTTCATTTTGAAAGTGTTAAAATTAACAAGCCACTCATTACCCCAGTGAACAACAAACTGTAGGTCATTTTTTAGATCACCTACCAATTTCACCTTCTCAAACTATTGTAACCTAGGGAAGGTCACTGAACAGAATAATCGAACAAAAGTTGATAATGAATGATAACACTTAAGCCACGAACAACACATATAAGATTCACCAGCGGCACATAGAAAGAGTAGTCAACTGCTAGAAGTGAGTTAAGTGAATTCCACAATGAATCTTCAGCTGCAGACCAACATACAGTATTTACTCCTGTATTTAGGTGAATGGCAACATACCCATTATTGTCCGTAGGTATGCTACAACACAAACTGACCAAAGTTACTATCGAGACAGGAGTAAATAGCTGTGTCATCAGTATGGGTACAAAGTTGAGAACTAATGTCATCAGGAAGTTTAATTAATGAAAATTAAGAACAAAGTAAGAGGACACTTGCATTAGTAGAAAAAAGACAATGTCTTCCCATTACATGTAGTCGCACGTATCTGTTAGACCCACACTACTTAGAGGGTTATTTATAGAAAATAGCTCTGATATCTCCACCTTTAAACTTTACCCCTATTCAAATATCTGACCCAGGGACATCCATCTTTTTAATAATATTACTATAATATGAACTGAAATATATAATTAGAGCTCGTTAATCTTTTGATTGAATATTATGGGACAATTCCAACTGAGGATGCTTTGATTTCCCCACGTGTAAATTGGTCTGTGATGTTCACAAAGCCAGATTCATTGCTTTTTCTTAAAAAATAAATTAAATTAACTCTGTGCCTCATAAGAAAATTCAGTGAAAAAAATGTAACCCTTTCAAAATAATTTTTTTTTTTAGCATCAGCATATATTCTCTTCACTTAACAATATATATAGAAGGTATTAACAAAATCTTTCATATATTTTTCTAATTGAGAATCACTAATATAGGAGATGTATTCATATTCTAATAACTTCCTGGAATTTATCAACCATTTTCAGCAAAGCAACTAGCAAATTACAAGGCAACAAATATACAATGTTACAAGGTAAGGTTGCTAGCCTGTTGTGAGGAGTCTACAAAACTGTTGAAGAAACATTATAGCTACATCATTTTCTTAGCTGGGGTTATCATAAGATCATTGTGTTAGCTCATTGTAGTAATATCATCTTGTTAACTGGGGATGTTGCAATATCATTGTGTTTGCAGGGTTTGTTGCAAAGTCATTTTTTTAGCAGGGTTTGTGGCAACATCATTTTGTTAGCTGGAGTTGTCATAATGTCATTTTGTTAGACATGGTTGTAATAACATCATTGTGTAAGCTGAAGTTGTAGTAACATCATTTTGTTAGCTGGGGTTGTCCTAATGTCATTTTGTTACCTCAGCAACTAATGAAAACATTCTCCTCATATACTTACCTCTGTACAGAGTCGACTGGTCCGTTTCCCAAGGCAACGCGTTTGCAAATGGCCTAGAGCTGGAAAATCATCAGATTCACTCTGTTGAAAAGTGAGAAAAAAAATAATGAAAGATTACAAGCAGAACAAAAGATAGATTCATTGGCGAAGTTGAACAATAAGATATATGAATGAAGAACAATTAAATCAGCTATGCTGTATACTGGTTGGGCATCATTACAATGCATTTTCTGCAATTTTAAAAAGACTCATAAACATTTCATTGCACTGATGGTCTGTCTTTTTTCCCCATTTTTCATCTAATTCAAGGCTTAAGTGCAACTCAAAGTAGAGATTGAATGAATGGAGATGTAGACAGTGTGGGAAATTTTTTAGTTTGCTTCTTTTTGTTTTTCAGTTAATTGCTGAAACATCCTGAAGAATGCATTGAACAATTGCAAAATGTTCATCTATGAAACTCTAGAGTCAAGGTGCTGAACACATAACATCAATCAGCTAAATGACAAATTTTATTTCTATAAATCATATATATATATACATATATATATATATATATGTGTGTGTGTGTGTTGAAACCCAGGTAGTGAATAAGGTAAACATTTTATTTTTTTATGGTATTAACCTGTTCTACATATTCCATTCTAAACTGTGTATTGTGCACTTTTTAAATAGCCATGTTTGGCCTGGAATTGTTCCAACCTACTACATATTCAGTATATATATATATATATATATATATATATATATATATATATATATATATTTAGAGAGAGAGAGAGAAAGAAAGAGAGATAGATATAGATATATATAGATATAGATATCTGATTGAATAAATTACAGACATTATG